CTGGGCGACAGAGTGAGACTCCAACTCAAAAAAAAAAAAAAGAGAGAGCAATGCCCATACCTTGATTTTAAAATAGTTTATTGCTAAAAAATGCTAATGGTCATCTGAAACTTTAACAGGTAGATGACAATCTTTTTGCTGATGGAGGGTTTTGCCACGATGTTGATGACTGCTGACTGATCAGGGTGGTGGTGGCTGAAGGTTAGAGTGACTGTGAAAGTTTCTTAAAATAAGACGATGGTGCAATTTGCCACATGGATTGACTTTTCCTTTTATGAAAGATTTCTCTGTAGCAGGCACTGCTGTTTGTAGCATGTGATGCTGTTTGATAGCATTTTTTTTTTTGAGTTGGAGCCTCTGTCACCTAGGCTGGAGTGCAGTGGCACACTCACTGCCACCCCAGTGTCGACCTGCTGGGCTCGGTGATCCTTCCACCTCAGCCTTTCAAGCAGCCGGAACTACAGGCGCGTGCTACCATGTCCGGCTAATTTTTAAATTTTTTTTATTGTAGAGATAGAGTCTTGCCAATCTGCCCGGGTTGGTTCGAACCTGCAGGCTCAGGCAATCCACTCACCTTGGCCTCCCAAAGTGCTGGGATTACAGGCTGAATCACCGATGTTTGATAGCATTTTACCCACAGTAGAGCTTCTTTCAAAACTGGAGTTAATGCTATCAAATCCTGCCACTGCTTTATCACCTAAGTTTATGGATTTCTTGTATATCTTTTTACATTGTTGCCACTTCAACAATGTTTGCAACATCCTCACGGGGAGTAGATTCTTTCTCAAGAAACCACTTTCTTTGGTCATCCATAAGAAGCAACTCCTCATCTGTTCAAATTTTATCATGGATTGCAACAATTCAGTCACATCTTCAGGCTCCACTTCTAATTCTAGTTTTCTTGCTATTTCTACATCTGTATTGACTTCCTCCACTGAAGTCTTGAACCTTTCAAAGTCATCCATGAAGGCTGGAAACAACTTCTTCCAAACTCCTATCAATGCTGATATTTTGATCTCTTCCCATGAGTTAAAAATGTTCTTAATGGCATCTAGGATGAGAAATCCTTTCCAGAAAGTTTTCAATTTACTTTGCCCAGATCCATCAGAGGAATCACTATCTATGGCAGCTGTAGCTTGACAAAATGTATTTCTTATAATAAGATTTGAAAGTTGAAATTACTCCTTGATCCATGGGCTGCAGAATGGATGTTGTGTTAGCAGGCATGAAAACAGCATTAATTTCCTTGTGCATCTTCATCAGAGCTCTAGGGTGATGAGGTGCCTTGTCAGTGAGCAGTAATATTTTTAAAGGAATGTGTTATTTTTTTTGGCAGTAGGTCTCAACACTGGGCTTAAAATATTTAATAAACCATGCTGTAAACAAATGTGCTGTCATCCAGGCTTTGCTGTTCTGTTTATACAGCACAGGTATGTAGGTTTAGCTTAATTCTTAGAGGCCCTAGAATTTTCAGATGGTCAAAGAGCATTGACTTCAACATAAAGTCACCAACTGCATTAGCTCCTAATGAGAGAGTCAGCCTGTCCTTTGAAGTTTTGAAACCAGGTGTTGAGTTCTTGCTAGCTGTGAAAGTCCTAGATGACATCTTCTTCCAGTATAAAGCTGTTTGCTTTACATTAAGAATCTGTTGGCTGGGTATGGTGGCTCATGCCTGTCATCCCAGCACTTTGGGAAGTGGAGGTGAGAGGATTGCCTGAGCCCAGGGGTTTGAGACCAGCCTGGGCAACTTGGTGAGAGCTGTGTTTACAGTAAATCAAAAAATTAGCCAGGCATGGTGGCTTGTGCCTAAAGTCCCAACTACTTGGAAGACTGAGGCTGAAGGATTGCCTGAGCACAGCAGGTTGAGGCTGCGGTGGCCATGAGTGTGCCACTGCACTCCAACCTGGGCAACAGAGTGAGACTCCTACTCAAAAAAAGAATCTGTTGTTACTGTACTTTCTACTTAAAATTTGCTAAGAGGATAAATTCTGAATGTTCTCACTACATACACACAAAAAGGTAACTATGTAAGGTGGTGGATATATTTGCTTGATTATGGTGATTATTCATGAGGTATAAGTATCTCAAATAATCACCTTATACACTGTAAATAAACACAATTAAAATTTTTTTAAAAGAATCTATTGTTTAGTATAGCTACCTTCATCAATTATTGTAGCTAGGCTTTCTAGATAACTTGCTGCAGCTTCTGCATCAGTGCTTGCTGTTTCACCTTGCACGTTTATATTCTGGAGATAGCATCTTTCCTTCAACTTCATGAGTCAACCTCTGCTGGCTTCCAGCTTTTCTTATTTTCTTCTGCAGTTGTCTTGCCTCAGCTTTCATCGAATTGAAGAGAGTCAGGGCTTTGCTCTTGATTCAGCTTTGGCTTAAGGGGATGTTGTGGCTGGTTTGATCTGCTATGCAGACTGCTCAACCCTCATCTCAGCAATAAGGCTGTTTTACTTTCCTATCATTGGTGTGTTCACTGAAATAGTACTTTTAATGTCCTTCAGGACTTTTCCTTTGCATTCACAACTTGCCTCACTAATGCAGGAGGCCTGGCCTTTTGGCCTGTCTTGGCTTTTAACGTTACTTCCTCACTAAACTTAATCATTTCTAGCTTTTGATTTAAAGTGATAGACTTTCAGCTCTTCCTTCACTTGAACACTTAGAGGCCATTGTAGGGTTATTAATTGGCCTAATTTCAATATTGTTGTGTCTCAGGGAATAAGGAAGCCCAAGGAGTAAGAAGCCACTGAAGGGTTTTTAAGCAGAGAGATGGGAAAATGGTCAGTCAGTGGAGCAGTCAAAACATTCATGATATTTATTGATTAAGTTCGCTTAATAGACATGGTCTTATATGGGCATGGTTTGTGACTCCCCTCAAAAATTATCATGGTAACATTAAAGATCACAGATCACTATAACAGACATAATAACCATGAAAACATTTGAAATATTGTGAGAATTACCAATATGTGCCACTGAGACACGAAGTGAGCACATATTGCTGGAAAATAGACACTGATTGGAGGGGAATGTGGGTGGATTTAGGAAGATCCCATGCAGTGCTATTTCATTGCTGTAAGCAAGAGAAGATGAGGTCTTAGACTCCAAGGAGATGGGGAAACTGGGCATACATTTTGGAGGCCAAAATGGCAGGACTAGGTGATTGATTGTATGCGAGTGAAAAGGACTTCAGGTTTCTAGCAGAAGCAACTGGATGGATAGTTGGAGAATGGGAGTCACTGGAGGAGGAGCAGTGAGGAACAGATCCCAGACTTCAATTGTGGAGGTATTGAGTTAGATATGTTTATGAAGCGTCTGAGTGGAGATATTGAATAGGAGTTGGGTAAAATGGTCTGGACTCAGAAGGAAGATCTGGGCTGGAGGCGTAAAGATGTCAGTCACCAGCATGAAGGTGATATTTATAGTCATGGGATTAGATGAGATTTCAGGACCAAGACCAAAGGTAGCCCAAGTTGTAGGTTGGATAGAGGGGACTGACTCCCCAAAGAAGATTGACAAGAGACAGAGAGTTGGGAAACACCCAGGAGAATGAAGGTTCATCAGCAATAAAGAATTGTTCCAAGGGGAAAGAGTGATGGGCTAACTTTGTTGAATGATGTTGCAAAATGAAGAAAAAGGATAAGTGGTGTCCATTGAGCTCAGAAGCATGAAG